CTGCTTGTCGCTGCCAGGGTCTTCCTCTCCTTCCCTCATCCCCCTCCTCACCCGTCTGCCTGTCCCTGCTGCCAAGTCTGGCTCGGAGACCAGGGAGACCCGTTGTCCCCCCACAGCTGATCCTCGGTGCCAAGTGCCACATGGTCCGCGACGCGCAGATCCTCGAGAAGCAGCTCATCGCCAAAGAGCTGGAGGAAGAAGAGAAGCGCCTGGCCAAGATGATGGAGGTGGAGAGGAAAAAGGCCGACGCGCTGCAGGAGGAACTGGAGCACCAGAGGAAGCAGGAGCTCCTCAGGTTTGCGAGAGGGTCCCTCCTCCCCGCGGGGACCTCCGTCCCCTTCCCAGGCCTCGTGCCGGAGCTGGGGTAGCCTCCAGCTGCCAGCTTCGCACCGCAGCCCACCTCCCCGTCGCTGGACCGGGCAGCACAAGGCAGCAGACACCCCACTTGATGTCCGCGCCAGCGCTTCTGCTTCTGGGAGCGGGACGGAGCCGGAGGGAACCCTCCTGCTCGCTTCTTTGCAGAGGGAAACAGGAGCTCGTGAAGCAGATTGAGCAGAACGCGGAGGAGCGGGCTCTGAGAGCCGAGCAACAGGGCCAGGAGGCACAGGAGCTGCTGGAGCACCTGGAGCAGCTGAAGATGGAGGACCTGAAGGTGCGACCAGCAACCTGCCAGGGAGCAGAGCGGGGTCTGGAGTTTGGGTTTCACCTTGTCGGAAGGGTGACCCAGACCTGGTGTGCGGAGACAACAGCCAGCAGAATTGAAGCTCTGGTTTCTCGGGGAATTTGAGGCATCCTCAGAAAGCGACCCAAAGTGCTGAGCCCTCCCTCGCCCTGTGTGCTGCTGGGCCCTCAGGGAGGGCCACGGGGAGGAGCGGAGCGAGGGCTTTGTGCTGCAGCACTTGCCCTGTCACCCTCGGACCCTCTGCACCGTTTGCAGGACATGGAGAGGCGGCAGGAGCAACAGAAGAAAATACAGGCTGAGATTAAACGCGTCAACGATGAGAACCAGAGGCTCAAGGAGGAGCAGCGGGAGCAGGAGAGGATGGCGGATGAGCGGGTGCTCGAGTACCAGAGGCAGAAAATGGTAACGGGGCTGAGCCCGTGCGGCACTGGCGCGTTCTGCCGGCAGCAGAGGTGCTGCAGGGAGCTGCCACGAGGCTCTGTCCCGCGCAGGAACACGAGGCCAAGCTTGAAGCTGAGCAGGAGAGAATCCGTCGGGAGAAGGAGAAGGAGATAGCACGCTTGAGGGCCATGCAAGAGAGGGCCCGGGACCACCAGGCAGAGCGGGTGAGCGGCGTGCCTGACAGGCAGTGTGCTCCCGTGCGGGCTCACTCGCCCCCTTCCTCATCACCACGCCAGCAAAGTGGAAGCTCCCCTGGATGTGGTGGGTCCACGGGGGCGTTGCCGGTCTGGACCAGCACCTGGAACCAGCTGGTGTCCTGGAGCGGCGCTGGGAGAGGCGCGAAACCACGGCCGAGG